GCAGCATGTTGCAGCAAATTGCAGCATTTTGCAGCATGTTGCAAGCTGGTCGCGCATAGGGCTAGTGCGCGAGGGACTCGGATCGGAAAAACAAAAGCCGAGCAACACGAGTAGAGCAGAAAAAGGATCGATAGATCAACACAATCAATCAATCAATCCCATACATCATATCCAAACCCATCATTCATCTCAGGAAGCCCAGAAACAGTGCTTCAATCTGACAGCTTCGTGGAAGCACTTGGGTCAATGGTGTTCCTAACGGGAGTAGGACGGAGATAAAGGGGCCGACGGCAGGGTGTACAGTCCTGCGTAAGGGCTATTAGGCTGATGGAGGGGAGTAGAGTGACCAGATCATGGTTTGCCCTATGTGCGGCAGTATAGTGGCTAGGGTCAAACAGTCCTGTTAGACAGGGTTAGAGGTATATATAGTGTAAGATATATAAATAGTATTACTGTGATGACAAGCACTGTCTCTACTACCGTATGGAGCTGGGGAAGCATGGCAGAGTAGGTCGGCTCTATTTCAGCTAAACTAGGATGGGGAGTGAAGGAGGCAAAGGGTTTTCGCGAGAGAAAAGCTTGCGCAGCGCCAAGGCGCTAGCGCGCTCGCTTAACCCTTAGCGAGATCATGTGACTAGCAGCGGAGCTTGACAAGCAGCACCGTCACAATTACAGCTCTTTAGAAAGCTAAATGCTACTTAGTCTATATAGAAAATAAACTAAACATTAAACACACCTTCTAAAGGTTGTTTAATATAGGGACTATATACATATATAAAGGGCGCTAAGGCGAGCAGGATAAGTTTACGCAAGCCTACTAAGGAAAGCTTTATAAGCTTTCTTAGACTTATTAGACTTATAGCCTGTTCTTCTATTAAACAACACACCCTTCTATTACTACAGGCAGCTGCGCTGCCTCTGTGTCCTCTAACTAGTTTATAAGCAAGCCCTGTTCTAATCTAATTAGATTATAGAGCACTATAGGTGGAGTTACACTAGTCTAACTATAGACTGTAACACGCTGCCCCTCCTCCCTAGCAGCGTTCTTACTGCTCTGCTTACACAACTATGTTAGTAACAGCTTATTTATAAAGTTAGTGCTTATCTGCTAGTAAGCCTTTCTAGCTTTTACTTTTTCTAAACTAAATAGCTTATTAGTTTTATTTATTTTATTATTCTTATGCTACTTTTTATTTTAATCTTTTTTACTAGACAAAGATAAAACCCTATAGCGCTTACTAACTATTAAAGTTATCTTATGTGTTAACTTTATCCTTAGATAAATGTGTTAAGTGTGTAAAAAAAAAACAGTAGGTGTAATGCTTTTATTTTAAACACTATGTAGGACTATTTAGAAAGAGAGAAAAAACACTTCTTTAAAATGCTATAGTAGCTAAGGCTTATAAGTAAAAGCTTAGTAAAAAGATGTTTTATTAAGTCTAGAAGAAGCTAAAGGCGTAGGATAAAGAGTGTTCTAAATAAAATTACATCTAAAAGTTACTAAACTTACTAAAGGCTTAATATATAAAGTACCTAAAAAAAGACTTTTCTTCTTTAGATAAGATAGAGGCTCTTAAAGCTAAAGTAAAAAGCTATTTCTTTTTATAACTTTTATTTATAAGAACTTGTCTCTAAAGGCTGCTGCTATCTAGTAATAACATAGCTATTTTTTTTAATATATGTGCCTTATTACCTAGCTAGTTTCTTTTAGATAAGCCTAAAGGTACCTCTATACTAATGTCTGCGTGTTCTATAAATTTTTAGCTAGTTTCTATGTATTCTTACTAGTAAGCTATTTTTTTTATTTTACTAAAAATTTCTTCTTATTTTTTTAATTACTAATAATATGTTTAACTTTATATTCTATTTTCTTATCTTTTTATTTTTATATAAATAAGAGAATCTTTTTAAGTGCTTTTTCTAATCTAGAGACATAAAACTATAGGTGTATTTTTATATGTAGAGGAAGTTTAAGCTTACAGTTGTTCTGCTAGGTTTATAAGACTTTATATAGTCCTATTTTTTTTTTACTAACTTCTTAGAAGGTCTAGATATCTTAAGGTTCTTAGTATTAAAATATATGTAGTTCTCTAAGTGTATTTTTAGTCCTAGTTATTATAATTTGTTTACATATTATTTTATTATTTTTTAACTAGATCTAGCCTTAATTGCTAATTTTTTATATATGTTTTATAAGTTTAATAGCTAGTCTATTAATTTCTACAGGTCTATAAGCTAGTTTTTTTATAGTATAAAGTATAAGTTATAACTAAAATTATCCTTATATAGCGTTTCTTTTGTTGTAGCTAATTCTACTATGTTAATAGCTAGCTATGCTATAAAGAGCTATTCTGCCTAATTACTTTAGGTGTAAGAGACATACTTTCTTAGGTACTTTTCTACTTTAGTGTTTACTCTTTTAGTTTAACTATCTATTTATAGATAGTATACTATAAATAATTTATACATTATTCTAAGGTGTCTTATAGCTGCTTTCTAAAACCTGCTAGTAAATAATTTATTTTTATTAAAGATAATAATTTAAAGGCATTTATATACTAATATAATATTCTACTTAAGTTTATAAATAAATTCTTTAGCTGTAATAGTCTTCTTTAATAGCTATCTGTGTAGGTATTTAGTAGTTTTATTAAAAGCTACTGTAATTATGTTGCACATCCTTTCTATTTCTAGCTCTCTAAATAAAAGAAGTTCTGTAATAAAGTTTATTATAATTATTATTTATAGTTATTTAAAAGCTTTAATTAGTTAAAAGTATTAAGAAGTTTTATACCTTTACAAGTTATTTTTATTACAAGTGTTACATTCTGTAAGCACCTCTATGCACAGTTGCTTTACTTTTAGTATGTGTTGTAGTATAGCAGTTTATAGCTTCTTTTAAAGAGTGCCTATACTTAGGTGTCTAAACATTAAGGATTTGTAATACTTATAGATTAGATTTTTCTATTCTTATTTATTTACTATAAGCATGTAGAGGTCTTTTATAAGTTAGGGCTTATTATAAATCTATTCTTTATTAGTTTTCTTAAAAAGAGTAAATTTCTTAGTTTCTTTTTTTTTTATTAAAGTAATCTAGTCTTTAGCTAAGAGTGTTAGCCTGCTAGTTCTGTGCTTCTAGAACATGTTTAATAATGTAATTAAACTAGGCAAGTTTTATTGCTTATTTTATGTGCATTAAGAAGAGCTTTTTTATAGTTAGAAATGTAACTAAATTTAGATAGTCTGTTATTAGCAAAGCTTGCTCTGCTTATTATATTCGGGTTTGCAGAACGAAAAGTTGAGCAGAATCTCCTCTTTTAGACGCGCTAATTAGTTAGAATTTCTTTAGATAAACCCTAGTAACGCTATTTCTCTGTCACCTTATGTATTTCTTACATTTGTTTTTAAAAAAAACGTATACCTAATATAAGTGCACCTTTCTATTAATTTGCACACAGTTTGCTCTAGCATGCGTTGTGTAAAACATGTTTAAAGTATAGTTAGTTGCGTCTGTTCCACCTCTCTAGCCACATTAGTGTGTTGGGGATTAGCATCAGCCACATTAGTGTGTTGGGGATTGGCATCAGCCACATTGGTGTGTTGGGGATTGGCATTGGTGTGAGAGGTATCGAGCAGGAAACACAGGTCACAGAGAGGGAATGCAGGATAGGGGGGGTAACGAGAGTAAACCTTAGGGTCGGAGGCAGAGGTACGGAGGCCGAGGAGCCTATATACCCCGTGCCAAGCCTAGGGTACTCAGGGGTTGGATAGCTGTAACATAACCGTGACAATTGGTGTGTCAGGGATTGGCAGTTGCTCACACACCTGAGTTGCTTACTGTTAGATTGAAGCACTGTTTCTGGGCTTCCTGAGATAAATGATGGGTTTGGATACAATGTATGGGATGATGATTGATTGTATTGTTTATTCGATGCTTTTTGTGCTCTGCTCGTATTGCTCGGCTTTTGTTTTTCCGGTCCGAGTCCCTCGCGCACTAGCCCTATGCGCGACCAGCTTGCAACATGCTGCAATTTGTTGCAGAATATTGCAAAATGCTGCAACATGCTGCAATTTGCTGCAACATGCTGCAATTTGCTGCAACATGCTGCAAAATGTTGCAAAATGCTGTAATTTGCTGCAACATGCTGTAAAATGTTGCAAAATGCTGCAATTTGCTGCAACATGCTGCAATTTGCTGCAACATGCTGCAATTTGCAGCAACATACTGTTCGAGCTTATTGCTCGTACTATCTAGCAGCTTTCGTCCAGCGTTCCTCCTGTCTTGACAGTAGGTGCGCATATCTGACACTCACTTTTGCCAAGACCACACCACAACAAACTTTATTATGGCCCATAACAACCCGCTCTGGCACTATAGAGTACAGTACAGCCTAGAATATTATTTAGATACTACTTATACTTCTTGCTTACACGTTTGCGCGTTATGCCTAGTCTAATTGCGCTGTCCGCAGCGCCTTTAGAACTGCTCACCTACTTTAGCTTGCACCTGCTTCTTTGCCTTCTTCCTGTCACTGCGCGCCCTAACCTCCTTTAAAGCTGTTAAGCGCAGGCCTTTCTAAATGTAGCTGCCTTATTAGCTGCTTGAAGCTTAGTAATTTCCTATTACGCTAACACTAGCTTATGCACAATTATTGCTGCCCTTTTTAAGACTTTTTTTCTAGAGGCATTACCCCTCTAGAACCCTCTCTATACGTAGAGCTACTTGCAACACAACTAATATCTACTAGGGATTTCTGCCTGCTGCTGTAATCTACTGTAGTTTGCTGAAATTTGCTATAGTTTGCCGCAATTTGCCGTAGTTTGCTGTAATTTGCTATAGTTTGCTGCAATTTGCTATAGTTTACTGCAATTTGCTATAGTTTGCCGCAATTTGCTGTAGTTTGCTGCAATTTGCTGTAGTTTGCTACAATTTGCTGTAGTTTGCTACAATTTGCTGCAATTTACTTTACGCATTTCTTAACACTGCTAGGTAATCTCTTACTAACAACTCTAGACATTAGTCTATTATATTTAAACAGCAGTTAAAGAAGCTAAACTAGCAGTTGTGCAAGCAAAACAGCCTGTTAAGGTATTACATGTACTACATTAATCTTTGCGGTGATAGAGAGGCAGATGTAACAATTCTTGTTCCATCTTAGGTCGCCCAGAACCTCCGGAAGGCCCCCGTATCGGCCCCGACCTCGACCTGGCCCTGACTCTGCCCTGCCCCCTGCTGTACCCCTATTCCCTCATGTATTTAGTCGCACCTTGCCCCTGTAGCTAGCTCAGTAGTTTTCTAATATCCTTTCGTACAAGGCCTATAGGTGTCAATGGCATTCCCAGGTTCAGAGTCCCCACGCACTCCCATATGCCTCTGAGTGGACTCCCACCGCATTTGGACCCATTGTCTTGCCTGTGCCGTTACAGCAGAGGCAGAGGCAGAGGCAGAGGCAGCGCTAGAGCTCCCCAGCACTCTAAGAAATTCCTGCAGAGGCAACAAACTACACAAGCTGCAGCTCTACAACTAGGGCTTTAATGCTAAAACAATTAAATTAAAGATATTAGGTAGCAGTATTAGGCGTAGCGTGGCAGTATTAGGCGGTGAAAGAAACAGGTGCAACGCTAGAGACCACAAGGTGCAAAGAAGAGGAAGACTATTGCAAGAGCAGAAACGTGTTAAGAGCTAGAGCTAGAACCTATTCTTTTAATTATAGCTAATAATTAACTAATTTCTAAATAACTAATCTTAAATTTACATAAACTTTAAGTTTTTAAAAAAGAAATTTTACTAACCTAATTAAAGCTAAAAATTAGCTAGCTATTATTTACTTTTTTTTTATAGCTATATTAGTGTGTTAGGGATTAGCATTAGCTATATTAGTGTGTTAGAGAGTAGGATTAGCTACACTTAGTTACAGGCTATAATTAGTTACATACTATAGTTAAATGTTATTATTATATGTCTATTACTTGTCTAATACTACTTTGCTAAGCATTATGCTGTAACTATTTTTTAACCTAAATAACCTACTATTACAGCCTATAGTTAGACTAACAAAGACTTTTAGAAAGTGCCCTACTTTTTAAATAAATAAGAATAGAATCTGTTTATACTTAAATAGAAGAAACTAGACAACCTAACTAGGTTGCATTCTAACCCTAGGGATTAGCTACTAGGGGAATGTATCACCTAATAGGAACACATCTGCAAAGGCTATAAGGCTAGGCATGCTAAGAGTAGCAGCTTTAGCAAGAGAGGAGCAGTTCCTACAGAACTAGGTAGGGCTAAGTTAACAGGACTTACAGCTACTATTAGAGTACATAGGCCCTAAGAAGATTAACCTTAAAAAGATAAAATTAACATTTAGTTTTTTTTTTTATATAGACTAAGTAGCATTCTAGATTTCTAAAAAGCTGTAATACTAGTTGTATATCTTGTACTATATATACCTTTTTTTGTTTAACAGAACTGTTTAACCTAGCGCCTTATACTGCTGTCTAAATGTAAACTATAATTAGGCCTATCTTATTACTACTCTTTTTACCCTACCTTGCGCTATTAGCTAGGCTGTACACCTGGTAACGCTGCGCTCTTTTTGCTATACCCCTTTTAGGCCCGCGTACTTGCATTACTACAAGTAAGGATTGTAACACCTACCTTAATACGCTAACTATTGCTCTAAGCAAGCTTTGCTTTTACAGATTATTTATAAACTGTTGTAGTATTTTAATGTAAAAAGGTTTTGCTATTCTGTGTAGCTCTATAGCCTATACTCTTACTACATTTAGTATTGCTTTTAACTTCTTATTAAGTATGCTGTAGCTAGCTTTAGGTCCTAAGAACTTAGTAGAGTAGTATGCTACTAAGTGCTATCTCTTGTTCTTCTATTTTTAGTAAAACGTTGCTCTACTAGCTTCTAAGAATGCGTCTGTGTGGATCTTAGTATCTAGGCGTAAGTTGTACATTCTTAGCACTAGCTTAGATGTTATAGCCTGCTTTAATGCTATAAACGCCTTGTTTATTTATAGGGTCTATATAAATTTTACTATAGCCCTTTCTTTAGTAGTAGTGTTTATTAGGGGTATAGTAATTTTTAAGTAGTCCTTAATTATTTGCCTAACATAGCCTAATAGTCTAAGGAATCCTTTAACTTTCTTAACTATTATAAGCTTTAGCTATTTAAGTACTTTTTATATTTTAGCTAGATTAATTTTTATTTCTTTACTATTAATTATAAATTTTAAGTATTTTATTTTAGTAATGTAGAACTTATATTTAAAAAGCTGTAAATAAAGTCTATACTTTCTTAGCTTTTCTAAGACCTTTTATACCTTTTATACATAGTCTTCTAAGCTATTCTTTAAGTAGACAAGAACATTATTTAGGTATACTAGAGTAAAGACATTAAGATATAAGTTAAGAGCTATGTTAATAATTTATTAGAATGTTGCTAAGGTGTTTATTAGGCTAAATAGCATTACTAGTAGCTTATAGAGTTCCTATAAGGTTTAAAATGCTATAAGCTACTTATCTCTTTTTTATATTCTTATCTTATTAAATCTATTTTGTACATTAAACTTTGTAAAGTACTAGGTTCCTTTTAGCTAGTTTATAATATTTTATATAATTAGTAAGAGGAACTAGTCTTAAATTATGTTATTATTTAGAGTTCTATAATTTTAACAGACTTAGATCTTTTCTCCCTTTTTTTTTATAAAGACTACTGCTAAGGTAACTAGGCTATAGCTTTTTTAAATATAGCCTTATACTAGCATTTAGTTAATATACTCTTGCAGAGCTTTTTTTTATATCCTTGTTAAAAAGTAAAGCCTGTAGGTCTTTAAGCTATAGTCTTTTATTAAGTTAATAGCATAATTCTAGGGTTAGTGTAGGGGTAATTCTTCTAGATTAGCAGGCGTTTTAAACATGTCCTAGTAGTCTTTATATTTAATAAGGATGCTGCTTTTTTCTTAGATCCTAAAGATTTTAACCTCTTCTACATCTTTATTAGCTTTTATTTTTTTATAAAAGACTTTTTTAAGCTTTTTTTTTATTATTTTTACTACTTATGCTTTTAGTTTTTAATAAAGGAATTTTTAAAGCTTTTTTTTTTTAGAGTAGTAACTCCTACCTTACTTTACTTATTTATAGACTAAATATAAGTTGTTATAGCATGCTAACTAGGTTATGCTTATGTAGTTGTTAAGGCTTTCTATAGTTATTATTCTCTAGTTAATAGCAAAATTATACGTCTTTAGCTAGTTATAACCTAGAATTACATTGTACTTACCTTTTGGTAAAAGTATATTTATAGATTTCTAATTCTTTATATTTAGAGTTATAAGGCCTTTTTTATATATTTCTAGGTTAATCTATCTATTGCTATACTTAATTAAGGATGTGTTAGCAAGAGTTACTTTAAACAAAACTTTTTTTATTTAAAAAGAAATGCTTTATTTATCTACCTAGTCTTTATCTACTATAGTAAAGGTGCATCTGCTATTAATAAGAGCTAGTCCTAATTATTCTTTAAATGTAAAGGTTATAGTTAGGCTATATCTTATTTCTTATCCTACTATAACTATAGCTAATATATTATAAAGAACTTCTTTGTCTTCTAAAAGGTAAGAGTTAATATTTTATAAGTTATTATTAAATTTATTTTTCTCTTCTTTATAGATTTAGTGCTCTTTATTATTATAGTTAGCTGCTTTACACTTATAATCTTCTACTAAATAATAAAATGTTAGGTAGTCTTCTTTTTTTACTACTTTTTATTAAAAGTAAAAAAACCTGCAGTTATTTTTGTTTTTATAGTCTAGCTATTTTTTTTATTTATAGAAAAAGGCTGTTTAATAGGTGTAGTAGTTTATAGTTTTGCAGGCTAAGGCTATTATCTGCTATAGGCATCTATTATAGTTCTTTTCCTATGTAGGCTACTAGCCTGCTTAATGCTTGTTGTCCTAGTGTCTAGTGCAATACTATTGCGTGCACTAGTACTAAGGGTATAGACAATTATTAGGTCTATGTAGGGTGTTAAGAGGGCTCTTCTAAGTCTACTAGAGGTATTCTTGTGTCTGTAC